GAAACCAAACTGCTTTGCTTCTTTGTGCAACAGATGCAAGGGGGTAAGTTGTTGTGTCACTTCCAAAGTTGAGACCAAACCTACGTAAGCCCCTGAATCAAGTATCTTTCAAAACTGTCCCCAGATGTTGGACTGCTGTTAGTTTATATATGCCAAGCACTTATCAAAACCATATATTTGTGCTTTATAAGGGAAAAAAGAAATACAAAAACATACACATACACATAGAAAACACATGTATAAAGTCATACACTGTATGCATATGTCACATCCAAGCAGGTTAAAGTCCCAAAAAGATGTTTTATTATTAAAGAAACTATAAACAACATAACTATTTCCAGAACATGAAATGTGATAATCAATGGCATCAATGGTGAGTGGAATGCACGGGTGAGAAATGTACAAATGATGGTTGACGGCAACTCAGGACAGTAAACAAACCCAAACCAGGAGATATATAGCCTAGCAGAAAGACAATGAGACAGGGGTGATATATGTAGCTTTGGCCTACACAGGTGTCAGCTCATTATCTAACGAGCCCTCCCAAACTGCCAGCTCCTGCAGAAAGAAACCAATGAAGCCGCAGCAGAAAGAAAGGGAGGGGTCGTAACACATACAACATTAGAAAAGTTAATTAAAAAATTTAATTCATACATCTAAAATTTTATCCATAGGCATACATATACATTCATACAGTATACCAACCTGCATACAAACATAAATACTCACATACAGACAATATTATATTCCCCATATTAAATATTAAAAGCCTTTCAAAACAGGATACTGATTTTGCTAGTTCATCAGACAGCTGGTTTCAATCACTATCCAAATAGCTATAATCATCATTTCAGTAAAGATATTTAGTAATCATCATGATCACATAATACGTCTTATTTCGTTGTCCCACTTTTCATTCAATATCTTAAAATGAGTGAAACAGTGTCCCTCTTGATCGTAAAGCTTATAACTGTCAATCAGTTTGTGCAGTGAATTCTATAGTTGACGCAATTATTGGTTAATGTAGGCCCAGTGAAGTTGGTATCATTTGATTTACAAATAATATAAAAAATAGGTGCATTCACTGTCATGCGATGGCAAAATTGTGAATGGACAGGAATCTGGAAAACAAACTACAACCAGTTTCACTGTGGACACACAACAGACAAATTATTTAGAAAGTAGGACTACTTTAACTAGCTAGCAGTGGAGAGTAAAAAAAAGATGTTCTGTCAACAACCAGTACATCTTCTGTCTGACTCCCTGTCTTTTTTTACCTGCTGGTGTCTCTTAAATGATGCTTAAGGTTAAGGTGAACCTGGCATTTGCTGTGTAGTGGTTGATGTTATCAGGGGTTATATCAAAAACTGACCAACGCGTGGTCTCATAGCTTTTGCTTTTATTGTGTGACAAGGGCTCCTTTTGAACCATGACAAACTGTTAACTCTGTGTCTTATCTGTCTATCAGCTACTCTCCTCTTTTTCACCTCTCCACTAGGTCTTTTGATGTCTGAACTGCCTGTCGTAATTCTTATCTCTTCTGCTCTCTCCTCCTATTCTCTTCTCTTCTCTTCTCTTCTCTCCTGTCCTGGTCATAAAAAGGATGCAATCAGCATATGCCAACCAAAATCTAACCAAATCTCAAATGTTTAGATTTTTTCAGGACGCACAAACCTAGATGACCTCAATTTTCTGATGCTAAACTCAGAGAAAACTGAGTTATTGAGAAAACTGAGTTATTGCATTTGGCCCCAAACAGTTAAGAGACGCATTATCTAAAGATATATATAGTAGGTACTCAAAATGGCATTGCTCAAGCAAAATTAACAACAATAAATTATATTTGTTTCATGAACATGCTTGTGTATGACACAGTGTAAAACAGCTAGAAGAGAATTCCCCGTAAAAAAAAAAAATTCCTTTTACACCACTAGAACACTGTGGAACCCATAGAATCAAGACCCAGTTTGGTTTCAGGAGGCACGCACCATCTCCACATTTAAGAGTAGGCTTAAGACTTTCCTCTTTGATAAAGCTTATGGTTAGGGCTGGTTAGCCCTGACCATACCATTGTTGCTGCTATAGGCCTTGACTGCTGGGAGACTTCCCATGATGCACTGAGCTCTCTCCTTCTCTTCCTCTTCATTTTTAAGCAATTGTATACCAATAATGCTTCTTACTTGACTACTTTCCATGTACTTGGTCTTTGCATATTGATTTTCTCTGAGTGAGTTAATTCTGTTTACATCACATTATTTTACTTTTTACTACATGAAGGTATTGATAAGATCCCTTTTAAATAAAAGCTTTTAGACTACTGAGCAAAAACAAAGATCAGTTTTACTGACAGGATTCTATTTAATGAAATCACCATCGCGCATCGCAATAAAAAGAAATAGCAACCAATGCTAATTGTAACGAAGGTATGAATAGCAAATGTAGCAAAGTTAAAAAGAAATTTCTGGTCCCCCAAAAGAACAGTTTTTAAAAGGAATGTGAAAATTTTCCATTCCTAAAATAAAAATCAACTTTTAATGGGTTACTCCCCTGGTTACTGTCTACATATACGATAAACCAGAGACTGAGGCGTTTAATTAATCTAGAATTAATGTGAGCACAGCAGAAATCTAAGAATTTATAAAACTGTGTGTCTTGAGCTTTATTTTAAATATTTTGCACAAGCGGAGCTGCTCTAGAGGCAGAGGAAGTTAGCTTTAAATAATGTTAGAGAGAAGAATAAGAGTTAGAGAGAGCATACCTACACTTTTTGATATTTTAAAGCACTCTTGCAATATATAGATACAGCTAGTGAACCTCCAGGTACAGTGAATATAAAATGATCCTCCTAGGATAGACACATATCATCACTCTACAGTAATCACTGATTTTATTTTTCAGATTGTTGCTTTGTCCACATAATCACAAGCACAATTAGTCATCAAAGCCACCAAACATTTGAAATGTTTAAAATGCAATTAATGTAATTGACTGTGTTAGTTGAGCATCTTGGAGAAATGTGTTTTCTGTGATAGGATAAGAGAATAAAACCAAACGTCCTTAGCATAACAAGTTTGGACATCGTCTGATAACTATTTTATTTTTATTTGTAAATCTTTTTCTGTTTAATTAATGTCCTGTTTTTATAATTTTCTGCTATTTTGTGATAGCATTTTCCTTTGTCTGGAAACTACTTTGTGCTTCCTTCATGGGATATATGTGCGTTGAGTGCCACCGTGTGGTGTGTGGAGAGATTGTGAAGACTGTATGTCCCTTCCAGTATTTTACAGTCTATCCAGTGCATCTTAACAAGTCAATTATGTAAGTCAAAAGTCTAATTCCTTTAAACGTAATAAATAAATCTGCCAGTGTGGTAAGATGTTTAAGAATATCAACATGTTTCCAATGCAAATTAGACCAGTTTTGGAGGGTTGAGCACATAGGCCTTGTATTGAGACAGGCAGGGTTGAGTTTGGACAGAGAAGTGATTGGAAGAGACTAACAGTCAAAGAGGTGGAGGAGTCAGTGAAGCTGAAAGCTGATGGTGAACAAGTCAGATCCACAGGAGAAACCCAAATCCTTTATTCATAACAATCAGGTTATTTGATGGCATCCTGTGGATTCTGTTGTGTAACAAGGTAAACATGACGCTACCACCCTCAAGTGGTACATGGCTAAACTGCCTATCATTGCATTATTTGTTTCCCTCTTTTCTAGCATTGACCCTTTGCTCTTCAAACTGGGAGACATGGCTGCACTGTGTATTCAACCTACAGATAGCGTCTTACTTTCTCCTGCTATATATATATTTTAATTGTTGATATCTATTAACAGGCCTTTTAGCCTAACAACTATAAGGCAAGGACTGTTCTCATGATACATGAGTACAGTCCTTTTCATGCTCCGTCTTTGACAGAGTGCTAAGGTTGCAGGGTGTGCTGATGTTCCAGATGGTGGCAGTCTATGAATAATGCATCATTGCCTTCAGTCAGACAGGTCCAAGCTGATCTGAGGTCAACTGAATGACACAGGTGGCGACTGTGTGGTTCATGCTGAGCAGTGGGGTGGACTGCCCAGGGACGAGCTGGGAATAGTGGCTCTTGATATGCAATACTCGTGTGTCTCATTTAGGTACTGCAGATACAGTACAACATAATTTTAAGTCTTTAAAAGTACAAGGTTTGAGAAATACTGACACACAATGTCTATTCTGTTCCCACTATGTGTGTATGTGTATGTTAAACATATGAGATGGCCTTGAAGTTTTTTACTTGAAGCCATTGTGAAACTGTGAGAACAGAACTGGACAACACATTCAAGGATAGTGATTACAAATCAGAAACATTGATGTTTCTTAAAACAGATTTAGACCAAATGTTTTAAAAATTGATTAGTACAGTCAGGAAACAAAAGTATAGTCTAACTGTCAAATTAGTCCCTCATGTCAGGAAAAGTTATCACCAGGGAAAGATCAACATGAAGTACAACATCCTAGTAAACGTGCACATTTGAGCTCACAAAATTAAAAGTAACAAGAGTAAATGCATAACATCAGTTAACTAGAATGTTGTATAAGCAATACATTAGACTCAGACAGCTAGTTAGTTAGCAATAAATTAAGGCTGTAAGATATGGTAGTAAAGAGACAAGACACGATACTGGATAGACAAGATCGAGAAGAGTCAAGCCTATGTAAAAGTAAACACATTTCAGGTGGCAGGCGAAAATTTAATGTCGATCCCTTTCTTATGTAATATCATCCCTGCTGAGTCAACACACATGATTTAGTCTTCCCTCCTCTTTCCTGTCTTTTGTTTGGGAAAGTAACCTCTTGAAATGTGATTGTGGCACTTTTTCACCTCAATGATAAAATAATTCATTTTAATTCAGTTATGAATTATAATATATAATATAATTGAATAGTTCCTCTGCCCACTGGATGGCTGCCATGTCACTAAGATATTTTCAGAAAGAGGCAAGAATAATAGACAGTGCATACAAAATACTAATTCAGGACTTTAATTTAGCAAAAATATACACGCACAAAAAAACTGCTATGGTCCAGGGCCCACGAGATATGCCATATCAAGAACCTACACCTCCCGTGTAGGTTTGTCATTTGCAAATTGTGGATTCTTTAGCTTCAGCTTTGTTTGATTTAAATTTTAAGGGCTTCATGAGTGCATGACTGCATACAACATTGCCAAAGCATATTAACACAAATTATACAGCCATAATAAACAATAAACAATCAATAATAGGCTAAACATTCTCTCTGATTTAGTAAATCTGGTAAACTGCAAAATACAGAAAGATTTAAGAAACCAATACAGTTAACCAATAAGTTTACAGTAAACAATCTGTATCAATATTCCAATTTGTTGCTCCGCTTTCCATTCTATGAATTTCGAACTGTGTCATAATTCTTTGGTTCCCATATTAGACGGGTGACATTTATGTCACTCTTGTCTGCAATACTCTCGTCCCAGCAGTACTCAGGGGATAGCAGCCTGCCTGGTTTATTAAGCCAAAAGTACTTGTTTAGATGACTCTCATCATGCCACAGAGCTTCCACATCGTTTTGTTTGTCCTCCATGATGTTCAGATAGCAGGCATCTGCCAAATTTTTCACATTTTCCCACAAGCCTCCAAAGATAGCAGCATGGTAGTAAAAATCTCCGGTTTCCATGAAGGCTTTGGATTTGGGGTTTCTGTCGTAGGTGAACCTCTCATTTGGAAGTTTGTAAAAGTGGGCATGGAGCAAAGCCACAGAATCCCCCAGAGCCTCTGATCCAAATCTCCCCTTAAACTCCTGATCCACATCAAAGCAGAAGACATATTTGCAGCAGTGACGAATCTCTGCTTCTATGGTTTCTGATATTGCTTTCATACGCATCATAGAGATGTCCTGCCACCTGGAGTGCTTTTCTACCTGGATAACCTTCATGATTCGCTGAGGAGAAAGCTCAATGTTTGGTACGTTCTCTGGTAGATCTGTAAACACGTAATATGTCACTGGTAATCCCAACATAAAATGCTGTTCTGCAGTGGTAAGGAAAGTCTTAAGGTAGGCATCCAGGTACCTTAGGTAGAAACACAGAGAAAAACAAAAAATATATCAAATGTAACATTTAAAACTTATTTTTATCATTCCGACCTGAAGTCCTTCTTGTTGCTTATTTGCTTTAATCTGCTTTCACATTAAAACAGGGTTTTTCCTGCGTAGAAATAACAACGTCAAACTTGGTCCCACCTCCAGCAAGAACAAAGCTCTGACGGGTGACCCTTCCTAAAACTTCCAGAGAGGAAGAAAAGAGCTATACGGGCAAATTTTAAATAAACAGGCCAACAGTATTTCTGCTTGTAACGTCTTTGCCACACAGCAAAATAATCACTAAAGAAAAAAGTGCTTTTCATTGTTTTAATATTTACAGTTTTATAGAGACAGCAGGTGTTTAAAAATGTTGTTGCAAAAGGCATTTGTGAACTCTATGCGCCACCCTGTACTGTGACTACAAAGCCAGAGTCTGTTCGTTTACCTCAGTGAAATGTAAGGAAATAAAGTTTTAATTTTTGAAACATGACTTTCACATACTGATAAAAGCAAATAATTTCAATTAGAAAGTATAATAAATAAATAATGATAACTGGATAACTAAAAGTACAATTATTTTTTTATTATTTTTAAATGCTTCAAAAACAGGAGATCTGTAAATATTATTTAGCTAGGGAAATTCTGCTTATAAGTATTTGATGTCCTCAATCTCAAACATAGCTTAATCATGTAATATGACGTGCTTCAGTGTGAACAAATATTACTGGGACCACAAGAGAAAATTTCTAATGAACATTTAATATCCAGGTATTCGCATCAGCTACACTGCAAGAGGACCCTGAACTACATATGAAAACAAGCGCTGTTATATTTGATTTGATTTTTTAAAGTAAAATATGCATAAACTTGATAATCGTCATTTTCTTCAATCATATAATTATTAGAACTCCTGAAATACGTTTCTTTGTAAAACATGTTTGCTTGAGACAGTTGAAGGCACGGTACACATGCATGTGATCAGGATGGTTCCACTTTTGCCTCATTTTGAGCCAGGAAAATAACCTGTAAAAGAATACTTTTTGGGTATTTGCGTAATTAAAAATAATGAGGTTTTAACAAGAGTTGTAGTAGATGAGAAAATTTAAAACTAATATGTTTCATTAGCTTTGAGACAAGTATCATACATATGTATTATCTGCTGACCTTGTCTTCTAACACTGAGGTCAGTTCTTTGAGTTTGAACCCATGCTCAGTTGTCCCCTATCCCAATAACCCTGCAGGTCTGCTGTCATGTGTGCTGCATTTGCCTTTCTTACAGCCACAAATATTTATGGAGAAACAGACCTGCCCACAGCAAAGACAGTGAGGGCCACAGATGAGTGGCTTTCGATGTGCTTCTGGTCGTAAAGATAGGGGTCAAACATCCCCTCCCAGATGATAGGTGCTTTCCAAGACGTGCATGTTTGAACACCCGGTCTGGCTCTGAAATGGAAGATGAAAACACAATAAACAGCCATATGAGGAGGTGATACAGGAGGTACATTGTGTTCAACCATGAGCAAGTAAACAAAAGGAATTTCTAACTGTCTAACTGTGATTAAACAACAGTAGTTGTTTTATTTTGTGAATGTTCTCTTTTATTGACATTTGATTTGATATAATTCCTTTAAAAAAGTTTAAAATTTTTGAGTTTAATATGACCCAATTTTGCATTCTAATAAAAATCAAACAAATGTTTATGCTATAATTAAAATTGCATAAATTCTGCTCTACAACTGTAAGGGCAGTAGTGAATTGCTGAAATGGAATTATTGTAATCGTGCATATATATGTTAGAAACGATTGTGTTGATGAGTTGCAAGAGTGTAATGAAGTTCTAAGGAAGCCCCACTTTATCAAAGTCAGAAACCAATACATAAGGACACTGGTGAAACCAAAGACAGACGCACATTTTGAACATGCACTTCATCAAAAAAGCGCATGGAAGCGTCACATGAACGGGCAATGCTCAAGTCTCTCTAATAAAGGCAGGAATCTCTCTTTGTGTATCTGTCTGTCTGTCTGTCAAATCATGTTTTCAGGGGAGATACCGTATTTTTGCACCCTGATGATGCCTGACATCTCAAGATGGTGGAGCAGTGGCGTCTTCCTACTGCCCTCTGCAGTCGGCCCTAGGATTCCTGCTTTCCATACACCAGAGCCCAAATCTCCCTAGTTCTGCCTTCTCCTTCTCCTCTACACTTCAAACAAACTGACTTGACTAATGACCCTCTGCAGCAAAAAACTAAAGGGTCAGATCTTTTACCCCAAGTTAAGAGTGCTGTCCCAGATGATGCTCTCTCTCAGTTCTCCTTCACAGGGCACCATTCTATAAAAGTACTCTGATCAATGTTTTTCAATCTACACTTTAAGTAAATAAATAAATACATTTCATTTATATAGCACTCAACGAGAGTTTACATGGCAAAAAAGACAAAACAAAATCAGTATAAAAACCACAACAATAATAAGAGTATGACTCTAACTATGAAAAGTTGAAGAATGGAAAACAGCTTAAAAAACAGGCCAGAAACAAACAGAAAACAGGTCAGGACAAAATTGACTTGACTGAATTTAAAACTAAAGGGTCAGATATTTTACCCAAAGTTAAGTGTGTTGTCCAAATTGAAGCTCTTTGTCTCCTCCCCTGTACTGGTCACCGGCACATTATCCATAGGGACGAGGCTTGTTAAATATCTAATATTGAAAAAAGGCCATCGTGAGACTGGAATAAAATCATTTTGAAGTTATTCTTGGAAATAAATCAAGTTGACTCTTATGTGCTCCTATAGGTATGGAAGAGCAATAATTTGACTTTAGTACTCACCTTAAATATAAGGAAATGAAGCAGACAACAAGCAACACAACACAGCAAAAGTTTCCAGCAACCCTTGCCTTGTGAATGAGGCCACTGTAACGATGCAAAAGCAGACAAACACTTCTGTTCAACCTATATAATATAGGGTTATAAATGACAAACAATTTATGAAGTAATACTGAGAATGCAGCAATATGGCTTGCTGGATGTTTGGCTATGTAAGCAGTTGTCAACTCGAGCAAAATCAGCCAGAGGTTGATATTAACAAACTTTTAGTAGACACTCAGACATCTGTATCGTTACTGTAAGTGCTCTTATGGCGGTTGCTTTCTAGCTTTGTTGACTAGCTTGCCACCCTTGGTCACTCACTCTCACATTTTCTCTTCTTAGCTTCCTCATCAGCTCACTTCAGTCTCTTCATCTCTGCCATTAGCTAACATTATGACCATAGAGCAGTGATCAACTGTGGGACGCACACAAACTGCAATATATGCTTTAATGTGAGCATGTGCAAAAATGTCCTTATAATCAATTTGTTAAACAAGGGAGAAAAAAATACCTGCAGTTAGTTGGGATCAATCATACGACCTTCCAAACAGGAGTCCCACACAGTACCAACTGAGCTAAACATGAACACAAGTGTAGAGACATTTGAAATAATTGGAATTGTTGTGGCCCACCATGTAAACGCTTCAAAAAAAATGTGGCCTGATACCAGCCTTATTTGCAGACTGCTGCCCTACGGTTTTTCAGGTCAGGAGAGTTTACTGGCCAATCAAGCAATAGTAATACCATGGTCAGCAAACCAGTTACTAGTGGTTTTGGCACTTTGGGCAGGTGCCAAGTCCTGCTGGAAAAGGAAATCAGCCTCTCCATAAAGCTTGTTTGCAGATGGAAGCATGAAGTGCACTAATCTCCTGTTTAGATGCCTGCATTGATTCTTAACTTGATGAAACACAGTGGACAAACACCAGCAGATGATACTGTATGGCACCTCAAATCATCACTGACTGTGGAAACTTCACACTGGACTTCAAGTGACTTGGATTCTGTGCCTCTCCACTCGTCCTCAAGACTCAGGGACCTTGATTTCCAAATGAAATGAACAACTTACTTTCATCTGAAAAGAGGAGCAACAGTCCAGTTATTTTCCCCCTTAGCCCAGGTAAGACCCATCTGACGTTGTCTCTGGTTCAGGAGTGGCTTGACAATAGTAATGCGACACCTTCAGCTCTTTCCCGGACACGTCTGTGCGTGGTGGCTCCTGATGCGCTGACTCCAGCCTCAGTCCTTGTGAAGCTCCCCAAGTTTTTGAATCGATTTTGCTTGACAATTCTCTCAAAGCTGTTGCTTGTGCACCTTTTCCTACCACACTTTCCAGACTACACGTCTTTAAACGTCGGCAGGTTCCTGTGCTGTTCAGACTACACGACCTGCTGTCTTGTGAGTGAAGTCTTGAAATCGTTGTGGTGTTCGCACTACATGACTGATCGGTGACAAGGGGTCACACACTACACAAGCTGACAAAGACTGTCACCTGACAACTCGTCTCCAAACCAGGTTTGGCAAAAAAAAAATATGGGAAAAGTGATAAGTATAAGACACTACACACAGAACAGGAGTTGTTTATTATTATAAAGATAAAAATTATAAAGACAAAGATTTGTGAGAACTGATCGATCGCTGATTTGCCCCTGATCACAGCCCAACAGTCGATGCGCTTGGCATCTGTCAAATCAGGCTTAAAATCGTAGTGTGAGCTAGGCTTTACAGATTAAAGTCTCTTCTCAGGTCAACATTTCTGTATTATACATTCTTTATTCTAATACTATGAGATATTGATTTTTGCTTTCCATGAGCTGCAAGCCGTAATCATCAAGATAAAAAGAAAAAAATACCTAAAATATTCTAGATATATAAAATATAAAAAAAATGAATTAAATTACAGGAAAAAATGAACTTTTCTGCAATATTCTAATTTTCTGAGATGCAACCGTTCATCTGTGGTGAAATTCTTGGAAAAAACGCTACTGTATATTGAGTAAATGCAAACTGAACATTTCCTACTGCAGCTTCACATTAAAAACATTTAACTGGCGAAACACAAGATGACTTTCATTAAGTAGTAGTCAGAGGAAATGCAATGTGTTGCAATCTGTGAGATTAGCACTGACCACCATCAGGTCAACGGTGTTAAGCTGCACACCTCCACCTTAGTCAGATAACCAACTACTTTCACTTTTGCTGTTCGCAGAGTCATGCTGTGTGCAGCATAAAATCAGATCATGACTGCTCACATAATTATGGTGGAAAAAGACAAATTATCGCCTGACAATTGTTTGTTTGGCTGCACCATGACTTTAACTGTTGCCACCAGTAACTACAGGTGTCAAGTGTGCACGCTAACAGCGCAAATGCATAACAGCATCTAAACAGGTAGATAAATACAGATCCCGCCAATCAGAACTGCCTTCGGCAGTTACATTTACAATTAGGGATGTTAACATCACTCCTTCATGAACAGCCTCCTTGGCTGTGGTCTGGGAGCATTTTCTAGTTAAATATATAGTAATCATTATGGATTCATCATGTTTTTTAAGAATCTGTTCACACTGGCTAATAACATTCCTTTTGTGAAAGTGAAAATACAACAATAGTATGCTAATTAAAATGTATTTGAAAGTCCCCAGCATCATCTGATTTGAAAAAAGCCTAAAATGGCTGATTTTGAGGCAGCTTTTCCAAAACGTTGCGATGAAAGTTTTGGGCTGGTTTTTGTTTGCAATAAAAAAGTGAAAACTGCAAAGGTAGATGTGATATTTTTAAGTTTAGAATTATAGTTGAATGATTAGGCTTTCCACCTAGGATTCAATTGTGTAAATTTCTTCAGTCCTTCAGTCGTGAATTTCTTTTGCTTTTTTGCTTTAAGGGGCATGCTTCTCTCTTACAACAAATTCACAGCTTTCTCCATGATAGATCTCTAGGCAAATGTATGTTCTTATATGCGTTAGTCTTGGGCAAGTTACTCTGGAATTGTAATGTTACCTTTTACATACTTCTCCTTTAAAAACAGCCACTCTGAAAACACTGCAGCCTCTCAATCCAGATGTTGCTAAACAGTAGGGGGCACAGAAGGGTTTGTTGTCACTCTTTTTACACTGTCTAGCATTTACTGGGCACATACATCACAATGCTATAAATGTCATACCAAATTGAAGAAAGAAGTCTTGAGCACATTTTGTGTTCATTTCATCTCCACATTTTATCCCATTGTGGATTTGTAGACTGTTAAATAGCAAGTGTGCACTGCCATGGGCAGGTACGTTGTCACACTGCATCAGGTCACACTGGATTGTCAAAAAATAACAACACAATTACTATTACTGTCTAATGGTTGGATCAGATGTGAGCAATGAGGTGGGGGGTGCCATTTGTTTAAACCGATGTACAGATGAGACTTGTGGTTATCCAAAAAGAGGAAACAGGGCTTCTCCTTTGAGCACTTTGCATACATTGAAATGTCTCAGGAAGTCAACGGTGAGTATCTTTTATCCATTCAGGCTTTTGCCCCTCATTTGCCTGTTGATCAGGAAATGATTGTGCAGCAGATCTCTAGAGGGGCAGATCATAGACTTTTGATGAGGAGTTCAGAGAAACAGTACCAGGCCTGTAATGGTGAGGCTTTTACCCAGTAACGTTAGCTCAAGCAACTTTCCAGGTTGTCTTAGTAGCATCCTTTGGGCTTTGCCACTAGCAGATTTACGAGTTATGCTGAGATTGTTTATTACACTGTCCAAATGATCTTATGAACCATTAACAACTCATACATATAAATGGTTTGTCATTAAAATAATACTTCATTTATAATTAGTGAACCGATCATGTATAAAGTATGAAAATACAATTTTTAATCACATCATAGATGAGCTTATTAATAAAGAATCCAGTTTGTCTAACCATGTCCCTGAAGGGAGCAGTGGGCAAACAGGCACTGAGTGGAGAACCTACCTAACATGTTTTTGACGGTGGGGGAAACCGGAGCACACCAACATGCAAACTCCACACAGAAAGGCCGGGGCAACCAGGGTTTGAAACCACAAACTTCTTGCTGGGAGGCAACAGTGCTAACCACTGCATCACCGTGCCGCTAATTGATGAATAAAAAATGTACCAATACTTAGCAACTACTTCATAGTGTGTAGATAATAAAGAACAAAACATTTATGACTGTGTTTATGAATGACTTATTAATGTGTATTAATGTATGAACAATGCTTTATAAATGATGAATTCTGTTTTTACTAATACTTAACTAATGCTTCATAGTGTGTATTTATTATAATACCGAAAAACCCTCCATCTCTGGATTAAATGACTACAGGCCTGTCGCCCTGACATCTGTAGTCATGATTTCCTTTGAAAGACTGGTGTTGGCCCATCTGAAGGACATTACAGGGCCCTTGCTGGAACCCTTGCAGTTTGCCTACAAGTTTATATGAACAATGACAAGGGAAACACATTCATTCTCTCTGTGTTTATGGACCCTCGCCAAAACTGCCCGTCAACAATAATAGCTGGCCCACGGTCAGATTTTGATAGTGGCAAAAAAATATAAATAAATAAATACTTTGATAGCGGTACTAAAATACATCTCAGGCATGAAAACAACAGTTCTTCACATAATCACTTCCTCTTTAGTGGGTTTGCCTATAAAATAAAAGCGTGAGAAGCTTGTTTACTGCAATGCTGTATTTTGAGTTGAACTGAGCTTTTACTCTCTGAACGACATTAAAAGAGTCTGTAGCCTGCTTGACACACCTCTGAAAGAGCCGTCAGAAAACGTGATTCCCCGAAAAGACCTCTGCCTGGAGATACTGGGGAATTGAAAAAGTGTCCGTAGGTTGATGGATGCGGATCAAACACCAAAACAAAAACAGTGCAGCACATGCTGCGATCTGAGAAAAATTTGCTTCAGAATCAATTTTTGAAGAGAGTAAAAAAGAAAAAGATGTTCTGAGGAGAGACTGAACACTCAAACCTTGGATTGGGAGTCCTACACCTTACCTCCTGAGCTAAGCAAAGAACATGTTGCT